AGAGATTTTATTACCATTTTGATTTTTTCCCCCTGTGCCCTAACAGTGAGTTAAACATAGGCAAGAGGAAATAAAATCTATTGTGAACCTAATCCCACGTGTTAAACTGTTTCCCTTTCAGAGAAAAAAAGAAAAGAATCAAAGATCCGTGGTTCTTTATAAATTCCAGCATCATATCAATATTTGGGCCTGCAGAATTCTTTTCTAGGGCTTACCCTAGGAGTAGTAGTAAATAGCTAATTGTGAGCGTGTGAGTGTGTGTGTGTGTGTGTGTGCGCGCGCGCGCGCGCGCACCCGTGGACTGTGTGAGATATTCTCTTGAACATTGTGGAGTCAGGCCCCCTACTGACAGGATCAGTCAATTACAGACGTTGGCGGTGCTCCTGTGACTTCTTTCCACCAGAATGTAGCCGGGAAAACAGAAGTCTGGGGTATTGAGCGAGACCCTTGTACGCTTACTTAAGTGTATGCGGGATCCTTTCCATCTCGAGCATACCCGACCCCTACTTAAAACCTCAAGTCAAGAAGTAGCTCGTCCAAGAATTAGTTTAAGCGAATTAACCAATCTACAGCCGGTCTTCCTAAGCAATAGTGACACTTCCCAGGAACCAGAGCAAGAATTTAGTGGGGAAGGAAAACTCTTATACGAATGGAAGGGGAAAGTCCTCGTTTTATCTCATTTTAACGTTATATCGAATTATTCTATTGTCACTTCATTCTAATAAGCTGCTGTGAAAACTGCTTTTGGATCTTGCATATATTAAGGATTGAACAAGAATCCGTACTCATTTTACAATGCGTGGCTTCCTTAGAGCGAGCGCATTTTAAGAACTCCAGGACACTTTTCCGCTCTCCGGGAGGAATTTTCTCAAATTGTCCCCAGATTGAACCCAGCCTAAATTGAATGTATTTTTAATGGCAAAGAGGGAGGAGGAGCGTGCACAGGGAGTGTACTACTTAGAATTATTTGTATTTAGAGGGTTGTGGTTATAACCTTAAAGTTCTACCGGCCGCTGCTTTCCTAGGACTGTATTAAAAAATAATAACCGCCACCCCAGCGTGGCTCCGCTTGTTTCCGTCTGCCTGAAAATAGCTGCGGGAATCTGGCCCACCGCAGGGATCAAGGAAAGCTCCCCTCTGGCCGCGCCCCACTCCCTCGTCGAAGGGAAGGGAACCCGGGAGGGCGCCTCTGAGCCCAAGTTGCTGCTATTTTGGGCCCAGCCTGGCCGGTGCGTCAATGCCTGCGCCCCTGCGTCACCGCCACCCCCACCCCCTTCCTTCTCCTCTGCTCTCCAAACTCTCACTTTTTCCCTTTCGTTCGCGTGGAATCGCTTCTGCCCACGGGGCGCTGACGCTACTGAGCCCATACTAATAAGCTTTTCTTCACCCTACCCCCTCACCCCTCTACTCACCCTCACTCGCCACCACAAACAACATGCCCCTGCCACACACACACACACACACACACACACACTTCCTGGTTGTTTTTTTTTTTTTTCTCTTTTTCTCGCGCCCACTAGGGCACCGCTGAGCTGCAGCTCCGGCTGTAGCGGTAGTGGCAGCTGCAACGTCTGGGGAAAACTTAAGGTGGTCGCGTAGGTTTTCTCGAGGCTGCAACTCAACAGAGTCCTTGGCTTCCCTGGGCAGCTGCGGGGCTCCGGATAGCGACGCCTCTCCTGCGGCCCGGTAGTGGAGGTCGCCAAGGCGAAGAAGGTGCAGAATAGGGACGCACGGCCCTAGAACCCCGAGTTCCACTGTCCTTTCGGCCCTCGCTCAGAACATCAAGAGCGGGGCGAGTTGCCCAGGGCTCTGGAAGCCTGGAAGTCAGCCACGCCGTGGGAGGAGGGGCGGCCGCACGGCTCTCCTCGGGCGCAGAAGGGGGCGAACTCTCCCGGCGTCCCAGGTTCTTGCAGCCACCCGGGAGAAGCCCTAGGAGGTCCTCCGAGCTTCGGCCCAGGCTCTAGGAAGGGGCCTCGCCGCCCAGAGAAGCAGCGTTTCCTGGGGTGGAAAGCTGCACGCCTTCTGCGCGGCGGGCAGCCGGTCTCTCTTAGCGGGGTCGGCGGCGACTCAAGGCCGAGGAGGTGGGGCTGGCTCCCCGGCTGCGCGGACCCCCGTCGTGGGGAGGGCTGGAGGCGCACACACTCCGGGTTTACAGAGACATTGCACCCCCAACCCCCTCTGCTTCTCTGGTCCTGTCTTTTCCTCTGGACTCTCAGATTGCGATTGCGGCTGTGATAGTCTTTGGATTTCAGAGAAAGATAGATTTATTTCCCTAAAACTCGTGGAAAAGATACGACGAGTCGATGGGCACTGGGGAATGTCAAAAGTTTTAGAGTTGGCAGAAGGTGGGATGAGAGCATCTTTCTACAGAAGACGCACCTGTTGCCAGCTGCTTGGCTGCATTGTCTGCGAAAGAAAAGCAGGCGATGCTTCCCTGTGACTTTTGGGGTCCCTGAAGGGCTGGGTCACTTTCGATCCCCTCCCTCTCCGTACACCACGGTCTACTGAACGTGAGCACTTGTAAGGAAGGAGAAATAGGCCCTATCCCTAACGCCTTTCAGCGCAGACTGCGTGGTGCGTGGGGGCGGGGAGGAGAGGTAGGGCTAGGAAAAGGAGAAAAAGTGTGCACCGGCTAGGAAATCCCACCCCAACTGCCGAGCCCTCTGAGACAGTGGTGTCACGGGACGTCTGTGTGAACTTCGGGGGGAAGGGGGCGGTGTGTGACGAGTGGCGAGGCACAGCCCATCGCTGCTCCAGGTGCGGTCTACCTGGCCCACGCCTGCGTCCCCTTCCACCCAGGCTTTTGTTGCACCTTCCCCACGTGTGAGCGGCCCAGAGGCCTCGAGGGCTGGGGGGCTTGGGGGATGCTGAAATGTAACGGGGCTGCGGCCTTGGCGGACTGGGTGGAGGGGTCACACCTCTTTTGGAAAAAAAAACAAACCGCCCAACCGGGCGACGAAGGTGAAAGCAGAACGGTTCCCACCTTAAAATCCGCCCTGCTCGTGACGTCAGGTCGGAAATATACCAAAGCGAGCGCGGGCCAGGAGTCCGGGGAGCGCGGCGGCGCGGCGATTGGGCGGCTGGCCGCTGACGCGCGCTGACGCGCGGAGACTTTAGGTGCATGTTGGCAGCGGCAGCGCGAGCCACATAAACAAAGGCACATTGGCGGCCAGGGCTAGTCCGCCCAGCGGCTCGCGTTCGGCTCCGAGTCCCGCTCGCCTGCCCAGCCGGCCGCTTACCTCCGCTCCCTCCGGGCTCGCGGTGCCTCGGCTTCCTTCGCCCCGCTCGCCCACACCTTCCCGACCCCGGCACCCGGGCTCCCAAAGGGAACCACACTTTGGCAGAGTTGAATGAATGAAGAGAGACGCGGAGAACACCTAAGTGAGTAGGTGCAGCCCGTGCAGCTCGCGTTCTTTTATCCTTCTTTTGCTTGTTTCTTCCCACGGTGGTCTAGAAGTGAGCGCCAGAAGCTTGGAGCGCAAGTGGGGCAGGAGGATGGGGAGTGGGTTACGCGTAGCTTACGACGGGCATTTGTTCGAACTCAGGCTTTGGCATTAGGGGGGAGTTGGCTGCCAAAGAGGCTTCCCGGCCTCTCATTGGTGGACGTGGAAGGGAGACTCCATAGTGCTGGGAGCTGCGAACTTGCCCTAGGAAATGTGTGCAAAGTTTGCTCTCGGTTTGGAATTGAGTGTGGCTTTTGGACGTGGAGACTCGAGTCCTGTGTATAGGAGGGAAGCTTCTCGCAAACTGATAGGGAAAGAAAGTTCTTCAGTTTTATGTGTTCCGTGGGAACTGTGTCACCGCCTTGGCCAGCGTGCCTATGTTTCTTGGGCATTGTTGAGTAAGGGTGTTGTTGCTAGAGTGTCCTGTTACTAAGTTGCCTGAAATTTCTGGTTTTGACATATGCCGAGAGGGAAGGAGGGAGGGAGGGAGGGAGGGAGAGAGAGAGAGGAAGAAAGAGACAGCGACAGCAGTTTGGAAGGTAATAGGGAGTTATATCCAGCACAGGCATATCTCCAAGGGCTGTGCAGTGGGGGTATCAAGGGTCTCCTGTTTTTTTTCTGGTTAACCTCCTCCTCCCTTCTCCCCATTGAAGCAAGATTATGGGGGAAGGGAGGGAACAGGAGTGGCTGTTTGGCTTTCTTTTTCATTAGTAATAAGATTGTGCTCTAGAATAGCATCCAAGTGGGAACATCTGAAAATTAGTAGGACACAAGAAAGCCTTGTTCCAGCAAGTAGACAGATTGTGGAAGGCATTATGGAGAAGGTGTTCAGCTTATAAGGCTGGGAAGTGCTTCTAACATTGGTGCCAGCACCTATAAGTATTTTCTCTCTCTGCAATTGACCTGGGATGCACCTATCAAAACAGGGTTCTCTTTTCCCACCCCTTGATCATTAAAGATGTTGAAAAGCAAGTTTTCTGGAGAAGTGAACACCAGTTCACTTGTATCCCCAATCTCAGTGCTATCAAAAGAAGCCAGATGTTTCCACTCAAATTGCCTTCCGTGGCTGTTCAGGCCTTGCTGATATTTAGTAAGGGGGATTGTTTTTCTCATTTTATATCTTGACTTCTAACTTTCTTCCTCCTTCCCAAAAGAAAAACCCATTTGACCACAGGAAAAAAATCAAGCAATTTCCAACGCTTCACTTTATTTTAAACGCTAGTATTCTTATTCTAGTCTGAAATAAACTAAAATAGAAATGAACTCTTCATCCACACTAGAGCAAAGGGGTCGATTCATTACATCATAAGTATTAAATAAATTCATGGAATACCTTTCCTCCTTCAGGATCTTTTTGCTACAAGGATTTACCCAGTGCAGTGGGTGATATTCTCTTGTTTCTGGCCATGTCTTTTACACATCCATTTCACGTGGTGTTTGGTAAAGGCTACACATTAATTTCCAATGAGACATAAAAGGGTCTGCCTGGTGAGTCCACATATGCCCAGCTAAATCTCTGTGAGGAAGACATTGAAACTTCCTGTGTCTGTATTTCAGGGAGGAGATTGGACAGGCTGGACTCCCCATTGCTCTTTTAAAAATCTTGGAAACTTTGTCTTTCATTGAATTACGACACTGTCCACCTTTAATTTCTTCAAAAAAAACGCCAGTAACTTGCCTGAAGGTTAGTGAACTTTATTTCTTTGTACCTTTCCCGAGTTCCCTAAATATCAAGAAACAGAGCATCAGAATCTTCTCAAGCAAACCCTGTAACTTCAGGTGACAGGGAACAACTTTCTCATTGTTCAACTTGATTTCTAGAATGGTCATTTCTAGAAAGCTTACTGAACCCTAGCTTCAGAGAAGAGACTTCTCCAAGCAAGCAGGATTGACAGTGCAAAAGGGAGGGGGTGGAGGGAGGTGTCTGGAAATATTTGAGAGTATAGACCCTCAATAGCTGTCTAGCTCGGGTCCTTATTTGACCAGTGGTTTCATGCCCCAGCTGTTGCTCTGCAGCTTCCACCTCCCTCCCCCTCCCCCTCGTGCCCCTACCCACTCACTGACCGCTGTGGGCTGCCGGTGTAGCTCCAGGTGTACCCGAACCCGGGAAAAGGTGTTCAGTTGACCAGGCTGAGTGTGTATCACCCTGTTTCATTTCCAGCCATGCCTTGTGTTCAGGCGCAGTATGGGTCCTCGCCTCAAGGAGCAAGCCCCGCTTCTCAGAGCTACAGTTACCACTCTTCGGGAGAATACAGCTCCGATTTCTTAACTCCAGAGTTTGTCAAGTTTAGCATGGACCTCACCAACACTGAAATCACTGCCACCACTTCTCTCCCCAGCTTCAGTACCTTTATGGACAACTACAGCACAGGCTACGACGTCAAGCCACCTTGCTTGTACCAAATGCCCCTGTCCGGACAGCAGTCCTCCATTAAGGTAGAAGACATTCAGATGCACAACTACCAGCAGCACAGCCACCTGCCCCCCCAGTCCGAGGAGATGATGCCGCACTCCGGGTCGGTTTACTACAAGCCCTCCTCGCCCCCGACACCCACCACCCCGGGCTTCCAGGTGCAGCACAGCCCCATGTGGGACGACCCGGGGTCTCTCCACAACTTCCACCAGAACTACGTGGCCACTACGCACATGATTGAGCAGAGGAAAACGCCCGTCTCCCGCCTCTCGCTCTTCTCCTTTAAGCAGTCGCCCCCGGGCACTCCGGTGTCTAGCTGCCAGATGCGCTTCGACGGGCCCCTGCACGTCCCTATGAACCCGGAGCCCGCGGGCAGCCACCATGTGGTGGACGGGCAGACCTTCGCTGTACCCAATCCCATTCGCAAGCCCGCGTCCATGGGCTTCCCGGGCCTGCAGATCGGCCACGCGTCGCAGCTGCTTGACACGCAGGTGCCCTCGCCGCCCTCGCGGGGTTCCCCTTCCAACGAGGGGCTGTGTGCGGTGTGCGGCGACAACGCAGCCTGCCAGCACTACGGCGTTCGCACTTGTGAGGGCTGCAAAGGCTTCTTTAAGGTGAGCAAGGGCAGGTCGAAGGAAGCATGTAGGGTCCCCCTTGTGCCGGGGACCCTGGAGTGCGCCCTCGCCTTGGCGCAGGCAGCCCAGCCTCAGCTGTCCACGGGTCGCCCGTCTCCGGGCTCAGCCGAGGCTGCTTTGCCCACCGGCTGCGGAGGAGGCCTCAAGGGGAGCTGGAGGACTGGGAGCCCCGGGGTCGCAGCCCCCTCACCCGGCCGACCCGGCGTGCCCTCTCCCGAAGTTGCTGGCGCTGGACTGGGAAGAAGGTCATTTGCATGTGCTAGGAGCTGTCTTTCCTGCTCAGATTGAAATTGGTTAGGACAGAGAACCGTGTCTGAGCTAACCAAGTGGAACAGAATTCCCTATGGTCAAATTAAGTGATCTCTTTATTTCGCCATCCTGATTGAATAATCTTATCATTTTAAATAGAGAAGGTCTCCAAGGAATGTAAATAATATGAATGCCCACGCATTTGTATTTACTGAGCGTCTCTTTCCCCTTCTCTTGGCATATAAAACACAGCAAAGAGCGGCAAGGTTAGCTCAAATGTTAACGCTATCAATTTTCTTCTGTTAAATGCCCTGGGGGAGGAAAAAAGAAAAGAAATAGAAAGAAAAGGAAAAAGGGGAAAAATGAAAAGGAATAGTGTGTTTGTGTTTGTTAGTGGAGAGGGAGTGTAGATCCAAGCCTTTGAGAAGTTGTCTCCAGGTTGCTGGATTTTCAAGGAAATAACAAATAATTTGCCGCATACATTGTCTCTTTTTGCAGCGCACGGTGCAAAAAAATGCGAAATACGTATGTTTAGCAAATAAAAACTGCCCAGTGGACAAGCGGCGTCGGAATCGTTGTCAGTACTGCCGGTTTCAAAAGTGTCTGGCTGTTGGGATGGTCAAAGAAGGTAGGTCGGGGCAATCTGCGGACCCCTCAACCTGCGCCCCTGGAAAACCGATACTTATACTCCATTCCCACGGTCCACTTCCCAGAGACCAAGAGCTCCCCCCTCGGTGCCCCCACGGGGCCTCCTGCCCCAGCCTGCTTGCCCAGCCTGCCCTAGTGAAAGCCGCCAGGCCCCTCTCGCCTTTAACTACACAACCCAGTTAGAGGAAAACATAAAATAACCCCGCATTTTTATGCTTCTCCTCAGTGAGAGTTTTGCTGCTTTGCAAGCAGAGGAGACCTGAGCGGGCAGGCCGGAGCCCCACAGCTGCGGCCTGGGGAAGGGGGCAGCAGCTAGGCCTGGGATCCTGGACTGGTGCAGACAGGGATGTTCTTTTGCAGTGGTTCGAACGGACAGTTTAAAAGGCAGGAGAGGTCGTTTACCCTCGAAACCGAAGAGCCCACAGGAACCCTCTCCCCCTTCGCCCCCAGTGAGTCTGATCAGTGCCCTTGTCAGGGCTCACGTGGACTCCAACCCGGCGATGACCAGCCTGGACTATTCCAGGGTAAGAAGCCGGTTCGGTTCGGGATGGGATGGGATGGGGGAATATGTGGACAAACCAACAGATGGGCAGGACGCCTTCCTCACACCATCACACTGAGCCCTAAACCCCAGACGCCAGGGATGCAGCAAGGCCAGCCAGGCTACATGCCTCACAGCTTTGCTGGGGCCACGGGAGACACATAGTCAGTGTTGTAGCTCAAAGTGTAGCTGTGAAGATGCACAGAGTGGTCCAATCTCCGTGAGCCCCAACAACACCCCCTCCAGCTCCATAAACACCAATGCCTCTAAAGCAAAAGCTGTGCAAAATCCCGCTTTGCTTTTCTAGTTATTCCCAATCCTCCACAGAAGTACTATAATCCACATCCTTTCTGCCAGTGTCTGGGGAAGGATGTGGGAGCTGCCTGGGGGCCAGGGAATGAAAAGAGAGGGGTGGAAGGAATAGCAGTGGGGTCAGGGATCAAGTGGTCAAATTCCTCTTTTACTCCAGCTGTGAAAAATGTGCTGGCTTTAATTGGAGGAAGTATGTTGGGCAAACCTAGAAGTGACTGCAATATTATTAAGATTTGCAAAGGGTGTCTCAGCTCGAGACCCACTCTGGGACTAGAATGAATACTAACATGTCAATTGTTTTGTGGAGATAAGAGTGAACATTTCCCAGGGCTGGATGGCACTGTATTTAGTCTGTATGGAAATGGTAATTTACATATTTAAAGCAGCGACCTCATAGCACCGTCCCTAATTGAATTAATTGCCCCGGAACATCTAATTTCCTTACTGGTCAGAGAGAGGTTTAATTGTTATAAAAACCTGGCTCCCCTACTAGAAACGGGGTTAGCAATTTCACGGGTTATATATTTTAGAGAACCTCATTAAGTGATTTTTAAAATGAAATTCCAGTTCCAGGCGAACCCTGACTATCAGATGAGTGGAGATGACACCCAGCATATACAGCAGTTCTATGATCTCCTGACTGGCTCCATGGAGATCATCAGGGGCTGGGCAGAGAAGATCCCAGGCTTTGCTGACCTGCCCAAAGCTGACCAGGACCTGCTCTTTGAATCAGCTTTCTTGGAACTGTTTGTCCTTCGATTAGCATACAGGTAATGAGAGAGGAGACAATCCAAGAAGGTCGGAGAGGAATTGAGAAAGTAAAAGAAAGTGAGGAGAAGGAGTAGAAAAGAGGAATAAGAGAAAAGGACAGACTTGGAAATGAAAGAGGGAAAAAGGAAAGAAAAGAGAACACAAAAGGAGAAGAGAAGGAGTGTGAACCCAGAAATCTTAGGTGAATGGAATGGAGGTGGGATAGGGGTGTTCTTGATTGTTATGAAATTAAACCCTTTCAAGGTCCACTGGTCTACATTTTATTAACTCTTCAGTAATTAGGTGCCTCTTAAATCCCTCATTTATTGCTCTTCAAGTAATTAGTTGTTTAGCTTTTCTCTCTCTCTTTTTCTCCCCTCTCTCTTTGGTATTAATTGCAGGTCCAACCCAGTGGAGGGTAAACTCATCTTTTGCAATGGGGTGGTCTTGCACAGGTTGCAATGCGTGCGTGGCTTTGGGGAATGGATTGATTCCATTGTTGAATTCTCCTCCAACTTGCAGAATATGAACATCGACATTTCTGCCTTCTCCTGCATTGCGGCCCTGGCTATGGTCACAGGTCAGTACTGAAGGTGCAGGGCACTTCCCCTCCAGAACTGCCCATTGGGATTTGTCCTGGACTTCCCTTGTCAAGCATCTTCCCTGGTCCTGCCTGCTAACTAACTGCCTTGTGTCTTCTTTTGTTTTTGATTGTGTTTTCTGCAGAGAGACACGGGCTTAAGGAACCCAAGAGAGTGGAAGAGCTGCAAAACAAAATTGTTAATTGTCTCAAAGACCATGTGACTTTCAATAATGGGGGGTTGAACCGCCCCAACTATCTGTCCAAACTGTTGGGGAAGCTCCCAGAACTCCGTACCCTTTGCACACAGGGGCTACAGCGCATTTTCTACCTGAAATTGGAAGACTTGGTACCACCGCCAGCAATAATTGACAAACTTTTTCTGGACACTTTACCTTTCTAACATCTTCTCCCATGCACTTCAAAGAACTGGAAAGAAAACTAAAACTGTCCAGAGGGGCTAGTCACAGGGGCAGAGATAGCCCCCTGAGCTATCTCAGCTCAAGCTGTCCCCCTTCTGTAAAACTCCCAGCCCCTTGGTCCCTAAAGAAAACAAACAAACAAATAAAAACTGTTGCTATTTCCTAACCTGCAGGCAGAACCTGAAAGGGCATTTTGGCTCCGGGGCATCCTGGATATAGAACAAGGACTACACACAATACAGTGGTATAAACTTTTTATTATCAGTTAAAAATCAGTTTGTTGATAATTTTCAGAAGAAAGATTGCTAATGTATGATGGGAAATGTTTGGCCATGCTTGGTTGTTGCAATTAAGACAAGTGATGTAACATACACACACACACTCACACACACACACACACACACACACACACACACATCTTAAGGGGACCTACAAGTATTGCCCTTTAACAAGACTTCAAAGTTGTCTGCTATAAAGATGTAATATATAGTAAAACTAAATGTTGCGTGGGTGGCATGAGTTGAAGAAGGCAAAGGCTTGTAAATTTACTCAATGCAGTTTGGCTTTTTAAATTATTTTGTGCCTATTTATGAATAAATATTACAAATTCTAAAAAATAAGTGTGTTTGCAAAAAAAAAGAAAACTACATAAAAAGGGACAAGCATGTTGATTCTAGGTTGAACATGTTATAGGCACTTGCTACTTCAGTAATGTCTATATTATATAAATAGTATTTCAGACACTATGTAGTCTGTTAGATTTTATAAAGATTGGTAGTTATCTGAGCTTAAACATTTTCTCAATTGTAAAATAGATGGGCACAAGTAACACATTGGAATATCCTGACAAAAGGGACACATAGTGTTTGTAACACCGTCCAACATTCCTTGTTTGTAAGTGTTGTATGTACCGTTGCTGTTGATAAAAGAAAGTTTATATCTTGATTATTTTGTTGTCTAAAGCTAAACAAAACTTGCATGCAGCAGCTTTTTGACTGTTTCCAGAGTGCTTATAATATACATAACTCCCTGGAAATTACTGAGCACTTTGAACTTTTTTGTTCTTTTTAATGTCTAAAATTGTCAGTTAATATATTTATGTTGGAGTAAGAATTTTAATATTGCCATATTCTGTAGTATTTTTCTTTGTATATTTCTAGTATGGCACATGATATGAGTCACTGCCTTTTTTTTCTATGGTGTATGACAGAGACGCTGATTTTTTTTTCTGATAAATTCTTTCTTTGAGAAAGACAATTTTAATGTTTACAACAATAAACCATGTAAATGAAGAGAACTTTGTCTTCTTTCTGGGCTAGGAAGAAAATGATGACTAAACAACAATATACTATAGGCAAACTTGGGATAGGTGACTTAGTCAACATCTGAATTTCAAACTAACAGCCTAGATCTATTCTGGCAAAAGGAAATAGGTAATTGAACTGATTCCTCTAGAGAATCCAGGACAATATTTTTACTTAAACAGAATTTTCCAGTCTGGTGACCTACATGTATCAGACTCAATTTAGAATATCTCACTCTTCTGTCATTTTGGCAAGTGTAACTTTCAGAAGAGAAGTTCAGAAGATCAAAAGACTTTTGAACTTTTACAAGGTTGGGAGTCTTGACAAGTTCTTGTCTTGGACAGTGTTTAGAAAATATCTTTTTAAGACTCAGAAAGTCAACATGAATTTGAGAAGTCTCGTATGTTATCTTTGATTTTCCAATTCCTCCACATATAACTGTTCATATGGGTCTTGGAGGAAGTGTTAAGCATTTCAAGCTCTTTGGGCCTTGGATCAGTTTCTGGCATAGAATGGAACTCAGTCGAGATATTTCTTACTTTTTTCCACCTTCAGTGGAGAGTGATGAGGAGCAACTTGAAGTTTTAGAATAAAATTTCCACCTAAGGTTCTCAGATAAATAATAAATTATCTGATGTAAGTAAGTTGCAACAGGGCCTCTAGGATCTACGCAATGCTAACTTTCAGTAGCGAAAGGAAACTGATGTTGTAGACGCGGATTTCTGGCGGAGTTTCCTGCCAGCGACCTTAACCTCGGGCTACCGGGTCTGTGAGTTTCACCCGAGGCCAGCAGCGCAGTTGCAGAGGGCTGGCTGCCACGGTCCCAGGGCGCTGAGCCGGGTGCATTACAGAAGCCCTCCGGATTACTAAAATTTACAAAGAGCATTATTGTTTTCAAAATGCAGCGTTAGAATAGGAAATAGCCAGGACAGCTCTCGGGTTATTTTTCCTTTACCTTTTTTTTTTTTTTTTCCCTTCCCTTATCTTTTTGAAAGGATTGTTTTGCGGGTAAGCAAAGAGAAGGCTGGTCTCGGCGGCAATTTGTTTTTACTGGACGCGTTTCTCTCAAGTAAAAACTGAGGGGCAAAAGAGGGTGGTGGCCACATAAGAGAACAAATGAAAACGAAATGTCCAGTATCCTGGCTTTCTGGAAAAGATGAGGCTAGCCATATAATTCTATTTTCCTATCTTACGGCTAACCGAAGCCACAAATTAATACGCAGACAGAAAAGGCTCCTTAGAAGTGCTGGGAGTCTTCGGAGTCCTCAGCACTCAACTCCCAGGTGTCTGCAGCCCCTAGACCATCGCATTTCGTCACAGCATCCGTGAGAGTTGAACCCAGAAAAGAACTCTGTGGTTGGCTCTCCCTGTGGGTCACCCGAGGCCAGTAGGTGTCAGATAGTGCACCTCTCGAGAATTTCGAGTGCAGAAAGAGGAGAGGGGTGGGCTCTCCCACGCCCGCGTGCCGACTGCACCTGCTGGTGTACATTTAGCTGCGATGCTCAAGTTGTGAAGCGGCGAGTGCCTTTTGTGCTTCAGGGTCTCTTCCAACTCCCGGCTGCAGGCGGAGTCCTGCGGCTGAAGAGCCCCGCTTGTATTTCCCCAGTTCTTCAGAGGCTGGAGCAGCTGAGAACTTTTCCTGTCCTAGTCTTTCTAGGAATAAAGTTCAGAAAAGCCCACAGGCATGCTGCACTGTCAAAGCCAGACGTTGCGCCGAACTTCTTTAGAAAGAGACTAAAACTTTATAATGGGGGCTTCACATCGTCCACTTCTCCACATTTCCTCTTAGGAGTTTCAGTTATTATATATAGCTCCAGCCATGGGAAATATACTTGTTTCAAAGTCGTGGTCAAACACTTCTGAGCTCTGAGAGGTCTCAATTTAGTCTTCGGGTCTGGTCCCACGTCGCATGGTTGCCTAGAATGCTCTGATTTTAAGGGGAGATGCCCTTCAATTCTAAGTAGGATGAGCAGCTCTATCTCCCTGGTTCTGCCTTCTGTGGTCTGGGCGGGCCGGGGCCTGGAAGCATCGTCTCCGTCTCCGGGTGCCCTGCGGGTCCTCGAAGTGGGGACAGCAGGGGTGGGGAAAAGAGTTTGAATCTTCATTCTGAATCTCGGGTTACTCGGCAGTGACTGAGGAACCCAACGACCTTATCTTGTATATTGCTTTCTCCTTGCTGACTTTATCTCCGGAGAATTTGGGTTTCCCCCTAAAATGCGGGCTCTAAGGCTGACAGGCTCGTGGTTTTCTGGGCGAGAAGCCTACAGACACAGATATTCTTGCCCATTTAAGAATGTGACTTGAAGGTTCAACTTCACTTTGCCTTAAGAATCTCTTGGTGTTGTCGGGGTCGGTGCGTCAATGCGGAAGTCCACTTATCTAATTATATTTTAAACCTAGGCGTCGGCAGTGAAGAAAAAATTATTTCTAAGTTACAGACAGGTCAGCCAGGGAGAAGTTTTATTTTGTTTCTTTGAAATGTTTTGATCACACAGTTTCCGGGGACGGGATATATTTCCGCCTTGCCAGGCCCCGCGCAGGGTAGCACCTTCAAGGGGGCTTCCGGGAAACGCTTGTGCGGCGCATCTTCGCGCTACCAGCTCCCCGCCTAGTTCCGCGCGCGTCCTTTTCCCTTTTTATCCGCCACGCGGCAGCGCCGAGATGGCTACGGAGGGAAAGGGCTGAGGGTCGCTCACGCCGGCCTGGCCTCTCCTCCCTTGGTGGGAGAGGTGCTTGCCTTGAGGCTATTTGCACCCCGAAACCACAGCAAAAATGGAGCGGGGTTTTCTTAAAGCAGAGGGGAAGGGCTAGCGCTAGTCCTGAGGATTTTACACCCTCCTCCTCCAAGTATTATTTTAATGGTTGAATAGAGATCTAGGAATGGGTGTCTTTAAAACCACCTTCCTCTAAAGAGAGCTTTAAGGGTTAATCTTCCTCCCTACCCATTCCCGCAATACAAGAATATGAACTCTTGCTTCGTGGGCGCGCTCGGAATTCTCAGCAATCCAAACTTCCTGGGCACCCCACGTGCTGGGATTTGACTCAGTTTTGTAGTCCACCGGAGAGCTAAGCTGTTGGGGTCCCAGCCCACACCCAGTCAAATTCTTCTCTGCATAGGTCTTTTTAAAAGAGCACTCTTGGTTGCAACAGTCTTTGGGGAAAGGTTCTGCTTAGATCCGTGCATTTGAAAGAAGTCGAATTGGAGCAGTCACAGTTTGTAGTGATGGATTCAGTCAATACTGGCTGCCTTTATTGGTAAAGCGAGGTATGAATTCCAAACGGGCCATCATTTTTTAATAATTCGTTTTAAATAATAAAACAAACATCTGAAAATCAGTTTTTTATTTTTACTTTTTAATTTTGCTAGAAGCCAAAGTGGAACATTACACATAACCGTTTAGGATGGCAAGGCTGGCTGTCATTTGAAGTCATTTTCCCTTAGCTTGGTTCCTAGCACGACTGGGAGCAGCTGCTGGGGCCACAAGGTCTTTCTTCCGAGGTCGTGCCTTTCCTTGGGAAAAGTCCGACTTCCGTCGGCGGTGTGGGTGTCCGCGCGGGAGGCGCTCCGAGGAGAGTCTCTCCGCGGGTCCCTAGCCGCGACTTGCGCCAAGGGCCCTGCGGATGGCAGCGAGAGGAGGCTTACTCCCCGCTGCGCGCCTTCTCCCCGGTCCTTCTCCGGGGATGTTGAGGCCCTGGCATTACTGGGCAGGACGGGAGTCCGAGTTCCCGCACGGGAGGAAGAGAGGATGCCACTGCTTGCTCTGCCCATTGCGTTTTGGAGACTTAAGAGTTTGACTCCGAGGTTTGCACCGATAGACTTTGCCGAGAGAGCCCCGGAGTAATTAGTACAGCTCGGGTTAACTCTGTGGTCTCCTTGTCTTTCTCTCCCCTTCCCAGCTGCTCCCCGCGTCTTTCCCAGCTGTTCTGCATTCCCCCAGGGCGGAGGCCTCAACTGGCTCTGTAGTCGCGGCTTGGTCAGGTCCAGTGCGTCAGGACGCGCGAATAGGAGCCGCCGAGCGCGCGCCCGGCTTCTCCCCGCACCCTCCGATCCGAGGTTAGTCTCGGGTCTACCGGGGCTGGGTCGTCCTCCCAGACGACTCGACTGGAGAGAAAACTCTTTCTACTTGTTGGGGCGCACAAAGGGGCGGGGCAGAGACATCAGGGACGGATTGCGAGGCGGGTCCGCGCCTTGGGAAACACTGGGAAAGGCGTGTGCCTACGACCCCAAACAGAGTTCACTCGCGTCCACACTGCGCTTTCGAATCTCCCCGAGCCACGTGTGAGGCGCCTCGGTTCGCGCGCTGGAGTGAGCGACTAGTCAAGTGGGCGTCTCAGGGCTGCTCCTGCAAGGCCCTCGGGGCCGCCAGGAACGTGTCTGCCTGGGGCCGGGCGCATTCTTTCCTCCCTGGAAGAGGTTGATCACGGGCTGCTGGCCGCCCTCTTCTTGGCTTAGCTGAGCTCCGTTTCTTGAGAGGTCATTTGGGCTGCACACAGCACCGAGCTGGCACTCGGATCCTTGGGGAGATCGGATTCAACCCTGTCTTCAGACTTTCTTCTTCCCCTATTCTCTATCACACTGATTTCTTATTTCCGTCTGTTTATATAAAGCAGGATTTCCAAGACACTTCCCACCTGCTCCAAAAGATATGGTTCCCAGGTTTCCGCTAGAGACTTTTCTTGATCAGTAGAGGGTGGTCGAGGAGACTCTGTGAGTGTGAGAACTCTTTAGCAG